AGTCGAGCGCCCTAACCACCTGGCCATGCCGGGCCTATTTGCCATCGATTAATGAAATCTTTGAGATTTTAGACCATACATGGCCTAGTAGTTAGCGTACCGGGCTGGGAATGAAAAGTTTACGGTTCGAGATGTGCGGCTAAACACACTCCATAACTTCTGTTGTGGGCGCGTGATAAAAGTGACAGCCAATCCCTTTATTTGGTTCAAACAGCCTGACGAAGCCCTTAAAGGCTGCTGGCTAACTTCCTTCTCGTAGATCAACATTACGAACGGCTTTATTTGAGCCCTAAGGGTCTCAGACCTGACAGTTTAGTCCAAGTGTATAATATTTCGTTGAAAATGAAAATCCCAATGCCTTTAGAAACTTCTGTTTAGTCCTAATAAATCCAAACTTTTAAAGACTATAAAGCAAATTGACAGATATATTGAAGGATTTTTTTTTTATCCACACCACTTAGAAAGTGGTTATATTTTGTAAGGAAGTTTTAATTTCTTTGTAATTAAACACTGGTTCCAAAAGCTGTATTTATGACTTACTTAATCCCGAGCTATAAGAAATGTGTGTGAGCGCGCACGCTCATGCTAGTATTTCTACTAGAAAATGTTTTGATTTTTATAATAAATTTACTTTATGCGATCAATATGTGATGTTTGTACAGAAAGGCGCTTTTTAACGGTACTCATTACCACTTGATACTACCACAAAGCATTTTTTTATACATGTTTCAACTAAGTGTGAATGACAATGTCTTATTTAGCTATTTTGTTTCTTTGTCGGAGACGACGTTGTAATAACGAAGCCTTACAGCAGGTTATCCATTATAAATCTATTTTGCTAACATATATATCTACTACCAAGACTTTCAAAGGAATTTTAGTTGCATGTTTAACATATAAATTATATATTGTTTCATTTTCCTCATTTTTCTATCGTTATCCCGAAAACAAATCCTGATAATAAATGTGAAACAGACTAACTAAACAACTGACAAGCGAAACTCGTTAGAAAAGTTATTGTCGGATGGTAACATGAGCAACAACTATAGTCATTTTTTTACAAGAGAGAAATAGAGCTGGAGTGGAGATAGATTACTGATTTTAGGTATAACAGTGAACCGAGGGAGAGAGAAAATAAATTTAAGTTAAAGTTCAACCTACAAAAATAGTATTTTAAGAGAGAACGACGTTAAGCCTTATCCAAAAGCTGCAGCAGTGAAATAACTGATTTCGTAGCGATTTCTTCGCCAATTTTAAGTAAGAAAAAAATGTAAAAAGTTTGATCTACCATTTGTTGCAGCCCTCGTTCTTGAGTTTGACTGGTTTCTGGAAATACCGGCCTTCATCGGCATAACTTCGAGTTAGGCTGAACCAAAAGGATGTCGGTAGAACCTTATATAAAGATATTAAAATCACTATTCACATGGATGGTTATTCTGTCAGAGAGGCTTGAATAAATAAAAGTGGCATTCACAGTTTCAGGATTTTAACCTTTATACATTTAAAACCCTTTTGAGTCTTCTGTAACTTCGAATCTGAATATAATGTTGCTTATATTTTGTGGCTTTATTAAGACTTGTCTTGGTGGTGGTTGATTATTAAAGTCCCTTTTTTTTTCCAACTTAATAACAATAACACCGTATACATCATTGGTAATATGCTTTTAGTTACAGATTAAATACATGAATAATAAGTTAAAATTCACAATTTTGTATTTTATTACTAAACACTTATAAGTTATGTTTGGGTCACAATTCAACACAAATTACTTTTATACTGGGATTTCTATGTGTAAAAATAAAAGCATTTCAGGAAATTGTGATTTCCCGGCGAAAATAGACATACATGGGTTGCATTAAGTATGCTCTGTTGTATTTATTAAATATTCATCGGATCTCTCTCATTTGTGATTATAATATACACTTCTGCCCATGCATGTTGTTTTAATGTTGCGAGTGGAGTAGGTAAATACATATATATATATACTGAAAGATTTATTAATGCATAGAATACTTACAAAACACGCGTATATAAACATATACATGTATATGCTTTAAAAAAATCACCGGACATGTTTAAAATCTACTTATATTATGTTGGGTTTAAAAATGTATTTGCTTTCGGGAATTAAAACACGATTCTACACTTAGCAACTTAAAATAGCTATTACAAGAAGACAGAAATATGACTTTTACGCGCGCTATAGGCTGTATGTTAGGCAGAAGTAATAACGTTTTCAGTTTTAAAACTTGAATACTTAAAAGAGGATCAGTTTGACAAACTTTGAAAATAAAATACTACAGTACATTCGTTTACAAATAAACTTATGTATTTATAACAAATAAAAAATGAATAAACGCATACTTGCTATTTACTCCAAAGTAATTGCTTCCATGCGACATATACAGTTCGTTCAACAATATAACACCAGCATAAGCATGTAAACGCAAAACTCCACACTAGTCCTTAAAAACGTCTTGTGACCTATATAAACCAAACGGCTCCGACAGTGAAACTTTAGAAGAGCCGATTTTTTTTGTGTTATAAGTTCGTAGACTTAGCACTAAGCCACCGTTGTGGCCTTAACTAACACCATAACGTTATACCACATACGAAATTGTTATATAGTTAGTATTAACTATATACGTTATATAGTAAGCAGAGGCGTCACTAGACGCTGTCACACAGATCCCCTGCCCCGAATTCCCCAGTTGGTGTCTTGAAAAATCAGAATAGAAAACCATGATCGTTATCACACTGAAACACCGAAAAATTCAGCGATTATAGGCTCGAGCCCCGTATCTTTTAAGGAATCTGGTCAATATGTGGTATATCTAAATAAAAGTGGATTAACTTTAGAGCTACATCAAACTGATCTGCTAGATAACAAGATATTCGTTCGAACTATAGATTACAGATGGTAAGAGTAATTCTGGTCAGTATGTGGTGTATCTAAATAAAACTGGATTAACTTTAGAGCTACATCAAATTGATCTGCTAGATAACAAGATATTCGTTCGAGCTATAGATTACCGAGTAATACTAAGTATCTTACTAACTAAGTCGAAATAAAATGTAGTAATAAGTTTGGATGCAAAGTATAATACAAAATTAACAATCTTCCTTTAACATCAAACATGAATACAGTGTGTGTACTTGATGTTACTCACACGGGATGATCACCTTTACTGTGTTACAGAACTTACTACTCAAGAACAAGTTCTAGATAATGCTATTCAAATGGTGTTTCATGCTAGACTGAAAAATGCAACATTCTTTATCACGCAAAAAGCATTGCATTTACCTAGGGTGACTTGCATGGTCATTCTCATTATAGGATAGGTGAG